ATAATTTCAGGAAAAGCTACAGCATGAGCTCAGGTCTCATTGGACATCAGAGAATCCACAGAGGGAGAAGTTGTTCTATGTAATCTACCCATCAGAAATGCTTTAGTCATAGCTCACACTTTACTATACCCTACACGATTAATTCCTCAACCAAGATTCTTCTCAGACATGAATATGCAGGTATCTAGTAAGGTACAAATTCAATTCCCACATGATTGGAGCTTTTACAACAGGTCTGTCTGTCTGTGTGTCTTTCCCTCACTCCTTTTCATTTCTATTCAGTTTAAAGACCAGTCACAGGATCCCTGATGGATGACTGAAACACAGAATTCTGTTCTTAATACACATTTAAGATATATAGGCTGTGAAACTTGGCAGTGGTTTAAGTTCTTCCCAACTTTGAGCAGCTGGCAATTAACTGGAGATTTTTACATGTGAAGGGGCACAGTGTGGAAGTTCCTCAGTGGATAAAGGAAAGTATGACCACGGGTGGAAATGCAGTGCTTCGCATTTTGTTTTAAATTTATTGCCCACAGTAGTGATACAAATACTAAATGGAAGCAAATTGGCAACTGCCCCTTCAGGACTTGAGACCATTGTAGAACTGGAGGATATATAATGAAAACTCATTATTGGATCTGGAGGAAAACCCTGCCTTCTGGAAAGGATAAGGAGGTAAGTTGTATTTGATTGGCTTTCTATTTTTAAAGGTACATAAGGATGTTTGCTTTTTTTTATTTGGCCCCAGTTTTACAGTGGCTACAGCCACTTCTAAGTTTCCTTGTAAGGGAAAATGTCCCAAAGGTATATAATGTGTGCTGGATCACATCTTTATATTTTAAAGGTTTTGCCTAGAAGCACAGGGTTTTGCAGCTACAGGGCCACACTGAGAAACTGTGCCATATATCATAAACAAAAAAAACCAAACAAAAAAACAAACAAAAACAACAACAAAAACCAAAACCAAAAACAAACCAACCAAAAAAAAGGTAGAAGAGAGACTCTCCAGATGCTCTTTGCAGCAGATTATGAAAATAATAAGTTCAAAAAGATCCATTTTCACGTAATGCTACTGATAATTCATGTGTGATTCCTTTGACTTACTTTATAGCATATTGTAATGTTAGCACATGGAAAGGTAGGGTTTTCAGGATGATTACTGGACTACAGAACCTGGTGCTGTTTTTTATTTCAACCTTCTGCATCTCAGTAAATCTTCAAATAAAACGTTAATTCTCTTTACTCTAAATTTACTGATTTCTGGAATAAATGTAGGAATTAATGCTCACCTGAATGATAGGACTGGGCACACATAGCCAGTGAAAGACAATGTATGTGAAGAGAGTGTTCAAGAGCAAGGGCTTTGGGGCTCAGAAGATATTTTGGTGAAAAGCATTTAATTAGACTAAAATACTTCCCTGCAATTCACAGTCCTAGCATTACCTCAACCAAATTAAAAGTGGGCTTGCTCAAATTCTGTTGTTAGACTCTTGCCCTTGCAAGTTGGTAAGTATGCAGGCAAGATGCATTAATAGAATCTATTGGGTTTTAAATTAATCACTGCTGTCTTCATAAGTTTCTTGATTCCTGTTTATTCAGTTTGTCATTCCATTTATAACTAATACTTCAAAATCAGCTAGAAGAAATTTAACTTTCCACTGTGAAGGAATTACACGGATTTCTACTTTTAACCTAAATGAAGTCTTTGAACTGAAAGCCAAACATATCAAACTCTTCCTATAAATCTCTGACAGCCAAGTGGAATATCTGTAGTTCCCTGCTTCCTTCTTCACAGTGTACTGAGACTGATGCTAAGTGTTTATAAAACAAATATTTTAAAAAAAATTAGCATTATTAATGGTTGGTGTTTAAAATGGTTTTGCAGAGACATATTGTTGTGAAGTTACAGACGCCCCACTCCTTTTTAAATCATCCAGAAATGCCAAGAAAGAACTGGAACCGTGGATTAAAAGTTGATGACTTCTGCATCTCCCCCTTCTGCAATGTTCTGGAGCATTGTTTGGAGCATGGATCAAATAACATCAAGCTTACAGGTTTGATCCCTATGTGGACCATTCACTAAGAGCTGGACTTGATAATCCCCGTGGGTCCCTTCCAACTCAAAGCCTCCAGTGAATCCGTAAGTACGAGCACATGTGAACTATTTTAACACAGGTAATTCTGCATGTGTGTAACAGAACCACTACAGTGCCTTTCCTGTTTTAATCAACGAAGCATCAAAAAAGATGGATGTCGGCCGTGGCGTAAACCGGGCTGTCGACACGGGAGGGGTTTACATCCAGCCGTTCCTGCCTGGCTGCGCATCTTCCCTTTGAATCTGGCGGCTCCCTGGGCAGGTTGTGCCCAACGCAGCGCCCGCCCCGCGCGCCGCCGCTCGTGCCGGGCCCAACGGCCCCGCCGGCGCGAGCGCGGCCGTTGGTCCGCGAGGGGGCCGCGAGGAAGCGCTGTGAGGGGGCGGGCGCTGTGAGGGGCGGCTGGAGCCCCGCCGGAGCGCTGGGCTGGGACATCGCTTCTTGTCCCATCTCGGCTTGTCGGCCGTTTTCTCTCTCTCTCTTTCTTTCTTTCTCTCTTTCTCTCTCTGCTTAAATTTACAGCATTTATAATTCGGTTTATTTAATCGTGTCAATTTCAAATCTGTCCTGACAAAGCACAAGCTGGTCTGGTCGTATTGTGAAGTGATAGAACCTCGGGCGTTTTATCTTTTAAGTGCAAACTCGGATAGTTAATTTGAGGGAATGGAAAAGCAAAAAAAAAGTGGGATCCTTTTAGGTTAAAATATTTCGCCTCTGTGTTAATGTCTCAGGGTGTTGATTTATTCTTTAACCTGTTTTAATTAATTGAACAAAGGTAAAGACTGAAGCAGTTTTTTCAGTTTCAGACCTTATAAGAGATAATGAATCTCTTATAAGAGATAATGAAACCTAATTTTAAGAAGTGTGAGAAAGATAACTTATTTATTTGAACATTCCCCTTGACGATGTACAGGTTCATTTTGATGATGGATAAAGAAGCCAGGGCTAAATCACCACCTGCCGTGTTCACCTCGAATGCTGTTAAAGGACGTAGGAAGAAGAGGGATGGAACATTACAAGCTGCAAAATGGAATGCTTCTTTAGCTTCTAAAATCAAAACTAAATTAATGAGTAAGTATTGTTAAAATAAAACTGAAGCCATCTACTGTACTTAGACTGTAGGGCTTTAAAAGGAATAGTGATTGTATTTAACATGGTTTGCTGAAATGCTGCCTGTTAAAAATACTAACTTATGTTGAGAATATTAGCAGAGTCTGAAAGTTAAAATGTGATAGTAAGTTGTTTATTTATATAGTTCTTAGAGTATTTTCGGTCCGTGCTTCTTGGCGTGCCAGTGTTTTTGTAAAAATCAACTGCATTTACAACACCCATGTCCACAGCCATGCTTGCAGGATCTAAAAACTGAGGCCTCAAAATGAGTAAAATCAGTGAACTCTTAAAATATGGTTGCCATAGTAAAATACCTAGTATTCCCATCTGCAAAAACGGGATTTATATAAAATTATTCAATTAATAATTTTATATAATTTACTGAATCCAAGAAACTGGAAATACCAATCTGCTGATTTAATCACTTGTCACTTAATCACCGGGAAACGTTTTTTCCCAGTTAGTCAACATTACATTCAAACAGAGGTCTGCCATGGTAAATGTTTGGGGTTTGTTTCTAGCTCAGACAAAAATACTACTATGGAATATCTCAGAAACCTTTCTGCAAAAGATAGGGACACTATAAATGCAGTGAAACATTGTTATTTGAGAGCTCTGTTTCCAGCAGCACCTTCAGTGAGTGTTGACTTCTGCTTCTCTTTCCGTGAGCAGTGCAGAAGGAGTTTGTTGTTTCTATATATATTTATATATTTTTGTTCTGTTTCTATATATATTTTAATTTACTGTGGCTTTATGTAAAAATACTAATTTTCAGTGAAAAATAAACTGTATAGATTAATAATGCTAGTGTCCTTTAGAAATCTCCACTCTGCAGTAATACAAATAGTTCATAATTCAGTAAGATTAATAGTAATTTCAAAGCCTAATGTTTGGAATAGCAAGGTTCCACTGTTGTTTTCTGTTTCCCAAGGCAAAGAAATAAGGCCTTGCAAATTTTGGATAACAGATCACAGAAGTAGTAACATAAGACAACAAAGAGCTGCAGTAAAAGCAGTTTTCAAACTAACCTCGCCCCTTTTTGTGCTCTTTTAGCACATCTTTGCCTACCATGAATGTAAGGAAAAAGCCCCTGACATTTTGGTAATATGCAGTGCCATTGGAAAAAAAAAAGTTAGGTTCCTAAAACATTCTGTAACAGAAATGTATAGGTAGGTTTTCATTAGGACAGTGGAAGGTATATTTTGAATTTAAAGCTTTTTTCTTTATGTTGTCAAAACTCACATTCATTATCAGAATGTTTCAACGCATTAATTTCTAAAATATGTATTTTTTTAGAAATTTTTAAACACTTCTATGCCTGTGAAACTATCAATTTTTAAATGCTTTCTTCTGAAAATAACCTTATTTTAAAAAATCCAGCTGAGCAGAACCTGTGCATGAAATAAACGTGAACATGAAGCAGACAGAGCAGTCATCAGACTGACAACCACAGAAAGAGTTTTGCATTGGAAAGTGTTCGGCTTTGCTGTTGTTGCATCAAAACCTGCAGATAAAAATTTGTTACACAGTGATAGTTCACACAGAGAGGGCCTGGAATTGAAGCTGGTGAAAATAACACCATTTTTGTCTCCTTTAGATAACTCATCTATGTTGAAAGTATCTTTACAACAAAATAACAGAGCATTAGCTGTGGCTTTAAGTGTGGAGAAAGAAAATTCTCGCAGGCTAAAGAATGAGAGGATTTGTCTTCAGAAGGAAGTAGAAAAACTGCAGCTTCATAATATCTTGCTTCGTCAAAAACTAAACTGTTTGGTATGCTGCAAATAATATAATTTAAGCTTTGGTCAGATAAACCAACCTTTTCTCTTTTTTGGAAACTTAATGTTACTTCTTAAAATGGTGATTTAAAATATACGTGTCACATTTCTGAAGTTGTGTCATTGGACAGCATAGTATTTAAGTTTGATTTTTCTTTCATAGGTTTTATTGTTCTTATTATTTTATCTACCAGTGTGTATGTTCGTCCATTGCTATTTTAGTGTCAGCTTCACCTTTATATTTATAGGTATTAAGATGGTATTAAAATCAATTTGTGCTCAGTTGACTCTAAAAAAAATTATAGCATAGATTCACCTTTACATTTTGTCTCTTCTAAAGACAGAAGCCACTTAAAATACATTTTTTAAATTACTTTTTCTTTTACATTCAGAATAAAACTCTTATTGGAATAGAAGCATTTTTGAATGATAACCTTTTAACTGCAATAGAGATAAGCAGTCCTTCTGAGGTAAGATGCTTTTTGAACTATTACTATATTGAACTCATTTTCCATGATAAAATTTTCAAAGCATCGGATTGACTGCGATGTTGAAATATATATGTGTTGTACAACATTTACCCCAGTTCCTTAAAACTTGGCATGAAACACTGGTCTAGTGAAATAAATTAAATTTTGCTGCACTGAAAGTTTAGGATTTAACCTGGTTTACAAATAATCTAAAAGTTAAACATCAGTAAGCCCAGTTAAGAAAAAGCGGTTAAGTACTTCAGTATAAGGTGAGCAAGCTACCTGCCTTCCTTGCTTGGTGCTGCAATAGACATCCTACATGTGGAAACTTCACCGCAAAACACAGTCCATGTTAGTCCTTGTGTTGTGGAAAAATTACAATTAATTTTAAAAAAAGGGAAAATACTGTGTTGTCTGTTCTAAACTGTTGTTTAGTGTTGCTCTGTGCTTCTATTTGTATAATGCAGTTTGCACTGAAAAAGTCTGTACATTGCTTTGGGATGCGGGTAGGTTTTGGATTTTGATGAAATTCATTACAAAATATTTTGCTTTGAAGTTATTGCCTGTGTTTGAATATCATGTGCCTTCCTTCAGTGCTTCTGGGGTTTTTTTCCCATTCATTTTTGGGTTTTTTTCCCCTTTGGGTATTTCCAATACTTAAAACATAAGAGAATATTCAACTATTTGTACTTCCTCACTGTTCTTCTTCTGAAAGAATCTGCAGAGTTCCTTTCCTCTGTCAGCTGATCCAAGTAGCCCTACTGATGACCAGTTCCAGAGTGCCCGCCAGTCAGCGAGGTAGGTGATTATATTATCGGTTAAGTGTCTGTGGAATTTTTTTTTACAGCTAATCTTTGTATATTGTTGTAGCTATTTTTGAGGTAATGAGAAACAATTTTCTGTCTAATTCAGATGTTGCCTATTTACAATTTGGAGTTCAGGCAGAGATGGTAGACAAAACTTGTATTTGAATAATTCACTGCTTGCTTCATGTGATCTCACTAGCACAAAGCAGGATTCTCTATCATCAAAAATACATTTGCCCCAAGATAGAACCAGACTTCATACTCAAGTTGTTGTTTTCTGCTTTTATACATTATTAAGGAAACATTTTAACAATAGAATGTTATGTTAGAAAATGTAATAAAAATCTTTACAGTAAAATTTCCTCTTTTCAGATCTGCAGAATTGCCAGTGAGGCTTCCTTTAATTGGAGCAGCTAATGCAAAACAGCAGAGTAGCCCTTCTCTGGGTGAAATGCTGAATTCCTACAAGTGTACCAATGATTTGTCAGAGGAAGTGCATTCAGATCAAATCAAGTTTGCATCATCATTGCCTTCTGGTACAAATAATCAAAAGTTAATTGAAACAGATCCAGTGGAAACAGCTGTTGACAAGAATAAATTTTTGAAAGGTATGATGTATTTCTGTAAGGTGATTTGGTTTTTGGAGCTCTCTGAGAATTAGTATATAATAATTCACCACTTGATGTGCAATACAGAAGGTGTAGTAAGATTGCTAAGCTGTAATAAAATGAAAAATGACTAATGAAAAATAGAATGCTCACCCATAAGTGTCCTGACAATCACTTGTAGAATAGTGTTTATTGAAATAACACAACTGAAATGTAACAAAGTTAATGTGAAGAGAATAAAACCTTAGTAAGATAACCAAATAATAACTGAAGTAGTTATAGAAAAGTATATTCCCATTTATGTCCAATTTCAAAAGTACAACTTTGGTAAAATATGCAATTAGCTCTAGTTAACTACATTTTTAAGGACCAACCACAGATTGTGTGTATTCAGTTAAAAAAAATAAATTTTGAATTTTTTCCTACTTGTGGTTCAACCTTCGGTAATTTTATAGGGAGTAATTTTTAAAGAGCTACATTCTATTCTGTCTTTCACTAAGCTGCTGAATTTTTTCTCTGCAGAAAATCAACTATGCACAGAATTAAGTTCCCGTAGTGCCTTTGTGACTCATGTCAAAAATACACAATCCTTAGGACAGTCTGAGGAGCTTTCAAAACAATATCATGGTAGTTCATTGCCATCCTGTGGAAATGTGACAGAAAGAAAGAAAGATGCAGTACTTCACAAGTCAAAACCTCAACCTAGTATAAAGGATTTTGATAAAAAAGGTGGGTCATTGAATCTGCCTCATCATAGTATCAACAGTGGCAGCAACACCAATGATACAAATCTGCAGGAAGGTTCAAGTGACTTGTCTCACATTGTTCCCTCATCTATTAAATTTAGCAATGAAAGTAAGACAGATTTTAAGAAGCTGCTTTTTACTGACAAGATGAAGCCTGAAGAAACACTTTATGATGCTGATATGGAGTTGACTGCCAGTGATGCAGGTGAACTACTCACAGCTACAGCAAAAGACAATTATAAATTGCACCAAAATAAAATTGGTAATGCAAATTCTGACAAAATATTAGCAAATTTCAGAAAAGTAAAATATTCTAAGAAGGATAAAGAAAAAAACAAAAGCAAGACTGAAGTTGATTCAAATTTATGTGCAGAAGAAAGGCACACTGGGGCTGACAAGAGTGAAACCTCAAAAACTACTGACTTAGAAACTCAACTATTCCAAAGTCAGACAGAACAGCTACCTGCAGGAGATTCTGTAGAGAAACAGAGTAAAACAAGTAAAGCTAAAGATAGAAAGAGGATATACCACGTTATTGTAGTGAGTCCAAGAAAACAGGAGACAAATGAAGAAACTTTCTCAGAAATGTCTGGAGACATGGAAAGCAAAATTCAAAATGCAAACTTAAACTCACCTCTTAACAAGATCTCGTCAGGAGATTATTGTGCTGAGAATTTACCATTCCAAGATAATACTTCTAATGTGTTGCCTTTACAGGGTGACTTTCTGAATGCAAATGAGAAAGATAGTGAACCAACAAAAATTAGGAAAACTTTTCAAAACCCTTCCAAAGCAAACACAGCAAAGTCCTGTAGAGAGGAAAATGGCCAGGATGAAGAATATATTCCAAAAAAATCTCAAACAGAGATACACCAAAGTGACAGCAAGACAAAACAGAACCATAAAAATATTATGAAGAGAAAAGACAACAAAAAAAGTAGTTACAGACAAAGCAGAGAAACTGAAAAGGACGGCGTTCATAGAATTAGTCAGAAAGCAGACCAAAAGAGCAACCATTTCTCGCCAGGCAGATTAAAACGTACATTGGCAAAGGCTGGCCGGAAAGCATACATAATCCCAAAAGGAAACCTTACACTGTCCTCAGCTTGTAGAAATCAAGAATTAAAAAATAAGGATTCATTGCATGCAGAGACTGGAAATAAAGTAACTGGAACTCAGCAAATGCAAGTAGCTTTGGTTCCTCAGGACGATGCAGCTCTGAATACACCACAAGCTAAAGAACAAGTTAATGATGATGCTAACATGTTAAAGAAAGCAGATTCCTCAGCAGTGGCAAATAAATCCCCACTCATTAGTAATTCTTCTGGTAATCAGGTAAAGCAGAAACAGAGATTTAGTTCTGATATTACTGAGACCAGACGAGAAAAAAGTTATTTCAGGCCTATTGATCTGGGCAGGCAGAATATTTTGGATGGCCAGGAAGGCCCTCATGAAATAGGTTCCTTTATGAGTAAATCAAAGCCTACTATTCAAGCTGAATGTTCTAAGAATATGTCATTGAACACAGATAGCTTTCCCCAGGAAGGTCTTTCCAATGTGCAGCTCTCGGCTTTTGATAACCAAAATGCTTCTATCAACTTCTCCGTATTGAAAAACTCTGAAATCCAAGGAGAAAATGATCCTAAAGAAGCACTGAATGCTGAAAAAGTAGAACAGAATCTGGACCATATTTCTAAAGAGAGTTACAAAAATAGTCTGACACCTTGTCATGGTAAGTGTATGAACTAAGGAAAAAAATGGTGGTTTTTTGAATTAGAAAGTGCCTGAAATGGTGTTTACATGTCTTCCCTTTATAGTGGTCTAATCATTGCTTGATTAGAGTGCATAAAACAACACTGGAAAAGGTAAGAATGAAAACCACTAAAATTACGCATATTCCATATCATCTAGCAGTCTCAATATGTTTTTTTTAATTGTGGTTACTAATATCCTTGTTACTTTTCATTACATCCCAAGATGATAGTAGGGTGGATGTAAATAGTCTACATTCTTGAGAAGCAGTTGTGGTTGGAGCATGTATTCCATTTTCAAAGAATGTCATGGAATTCAGAAAGGTGGGGATTGAACTAACTGTTCCCTTTGTAAATGGAGAACAAAGCTGGACTTCTTAAAGATTTCATTTGTGTTTCTTTAGAAACGCTGCAATTCAACAGCAATTCTGATATCTAACAAGTATGTTGAGTAGGTTTTTTCTGTAATCTGCCCATGAGCAAACTTTGATATGACAACCTCTTTTTTTAAATTAGATACATTAAGTAAATAATCAAACATTGTAGTCTGGAAGATGGGTTTAGATTCTTCTATCAGAAGTGAAATTATTGTAAAGGAGCTAAAGGAATATATGACTAACACATCTATGCAAGAGTTTAAATCTACTTTCAAATGCAGCTTTGCAGTTTTTTAGCATTAGGGGTCTATTTTGTAAACATACTTGTTTTCCACAAGGTCCTGTTTACTTCATTGTCTCTGAGAAAGTCCCAACACCTAGAAAGTATCCTAGGTCAGATTAATAGTTTGAATTACAACTATCAATCAAATGCTGCTTCGTTTGAATGCTAAGACACAATGGCAAAAAAAATCTCCTATTTTACATGAGCTCAGAGTAGGAACACTGACCATTGTGTGAGGTATCAGTCTTTGTAATTTGCAATTGTATATTGTCTTCAATTCCTTCTTTGGAAAGTGGAAAGGGCATCCCATAATTTTTTAACAGGATTATTATTTATGGTTATTATCAGCAGTATCAAAGACTACTGACATAAAAAGCAAGCTAATTATTTGATCTTCATCCATTTAAGCACAATTCAAAACCCAGTTAATTTTTCATCCTACATCCAAATCCCCATCTTGAATTGAAAGATTGCTGTGTTCATTTTGTGCACATATATCCAAAAAGCAGGCATAAAGCTGGAAAACTCCTGTACAGTTTGACTCTTCAAATTACACATGTACAGCCTCCCCCTGCATCCAAGGCCATGGGCTGTGTGCAGTTTTGCTTTGTGAATGTGGTAACTTAGGGAGTCTTAAGCAGCCAGCTGCAAACTGCAGTGCTCATGGGGCTCTCTGAAATGTCCCATGACTCGTGGCAGACTCAAACAGCTCGAAATTTATTGCAAGCTGCTCTAGTGGCATTTTCTTTGATCGTCTGTACCAGTTTGTGTTGAGTGTCTTTAGTAGGAGCAGTAACCGAAGTACTCGAATTAGGAAATACTAACGAAAAATAATTATTAATTGAAAGTTTACCTAATGATTCAGAAAATATTTAAAACTAAGCATATAAACTATTGTATTTACAGGAAGAAAGGCTTTTCAAGATCTGACAAATACCGGTATACAATCTCACGTGTCTGTACCTAAATCCCCCAAAACTTTAGAGGAAAACTCAGCAGCACCATCTAGACGAGGAAGACCCACTGTTTGCTACAAAGAACCCAATCTACACAGGTAAGTGGGGGCAAGTAAATTGGACTTTTGCTTGCTTTTGGAGTGTATAACTGTCCCCAGTAAAGATAGTTGAAGGGTTTATTTGGAGATTTAATAACCTGTCACAGATCTCTTTTGCAAAGAATACTTTAGTGTTGGTATAAAACTTCTCCTGTGTTGCAGGATTTCCAAGTGCCAAAGTAAAACAACATTATTCAAATCTCAAAATGTATTTTGTAGTAATAATGAATAATAGTGAATCTTAATGTTTATCATGACATAAACCCCTTTAGATGTGGATAATTGTAAATATTATACTTAAAGATAAATTTACACCATAATAATGTCCTTGTATTATTGTCAAGTGAAAAGAAAATTTATGCACTAATATTATATAATTCAGTAGTTTTCCTCTAAGTATCTGTATCTAAGACAAGAAATCATTTAAGATATATAAATTTGATAATTTGTTATATTAGTTAGCTATATTAATTTTATACTTCATTTGCCTCTCATTGTTCATAGCAAATTTAGTGGCACAGAATTTTTGAGATAGTTCAAAGGCAAAACATAAATTGTGTAATAACTATTAAAATTTAAAAGAGGATTTTAAAGCCAAACTTCCATGAAGAAAACTAATTTATTTGCTCTTACATGAATAGGTTTAAATCTAAATGGACCTTTAGGTTGATTACTTCTAAAAATATTCTGAGACTTTTTGCCTCAAACTTGGTGATGGTGGTTTTTTGTTTGTTTGGTTGGTTGGTTTGGATTTTTCAAAAGTGTAATATTAATTTAAGGAACAGTTATGCTGTGTTGTGTATATTAGTAGGATGTGATTCATGAGGTAAAAAGTGTCAAGGCTTCCCTGTAACAGTGTTGAGAGTGAGAGGATTATAACAAATTCATTATAAAGGTGTAAAAAGAGTATGTCTCTTTTCTGGCAATACTGTGACAGGATTAAAAAACAAATCCACAAGCTGAAAAAAAATTAGAGCACTGTTCTAATACACCCTAAAATATTTTTTACCTGTATAAGTAAGCAAACAATTGAAGTAATGAGACTGTGAACAAGGAGGACCTGAAACTAATGTAGGAAGTGTTTTTACCACTGACAATTCAGAAATGTTTACACCAGGTCACTTGTAAAACAAATGGAAAGGGATTAGGGTTACACTGTTACTTTACTAATTGATTTAGATGCTAAAATACTAACTATATATAATATTACATATTGACATACTGACACTCTTTTACCCCAGAATGATAAGGCTCTATATTTCTGAGAGAGACAGTAGCTAATAACAGAAAAAAATGTTGATGTCACTCAAGATTTTAGATGATTGTCACCTATTTATATTTTATTTGTAATTATACTGTCCTGAATGGTGCTGTTAAGCTTTTTGTTTAAATAAGTTTTGAATTTTGTCTTATAGGAACATCACATTAATGTGACAGAGGTCACATAAAAAGACTAGTATTTTTAGCATTCTTTTGGAAAGCAGTAGTTTTCATTAAGAGTATTTACCACTTGAGCTGTTATTTTAATTTGAATTGTTATTATAATTACATTATTATAGTTACATAGGTGCTTGATGATATTCATACATGATGTCTTTTATTTCTTTTCTTTACAGCAAATTAAGGCGTGGGGATCGGTTTACAGATATGCAATTTCTGTGTTCCCCAGTCCATAAAGTAAAAAATAAAACAAGTTTTAAAAGTAAATCAAAATTTATTTGAAGAAGAGAAAAGAATTGCCTCTATGAACAATACTTCTAAAATGGGTACAGTTGTTTCTGTATGTATATAGATGTTTAGCAATATTGAGTGCTTGTTGTTTGATTAGTAGAGGTCTTCCAAAGTGAAATTTTCTGGAAAAGAGTCTCTATATAAGGGGCACAGAATACTTCACTGAGGAAGGCATTTACATGTTAGGTTCCACTCACGTTTTGCATTTCTGGTCAGTAATTTATAATTTCTTCAAAGTGTTTGCAGCACTTCTTAAATTGTAAGAAAAGTGTATGTTTTAATGTAAATTAAAAATAAACCAGCTTTGGGAATTTTAGTGTGAGTTTTTCATATTTATTTTGAGTAGAACCGTTTCTCGGTGCTGGCTGGAACAGACACATGCATCACAAATGTTGATACATTTATCGAAATAGATGGAGACATCTATTCTTTTGATAGTTGACTTTGGGATTTGACAGAATCATCCTGAAATTTGAATAAGGAAGGCTCACTGAGGAATAGTGGAGAGAAATCTGGTGTCCAGGGTACATGCCAGAGGCAGCCAGGAAGAAAAGATCACTGCAATAGAAATTCAATAGGGAATAGGATCCAGACAAAGCAACACCTTGAGTTTCCAACTGAGAGTGCTCGTGTGATGACTAATACAACCACATTTACCATTCAGCTGTCAGGGTTCTGTACTCCTTCCCCCCTGAATTCTCATGGATAACATTCTGCATTCCATAATGAGCTGTCAGCAGACAAACAGCTTTCTGTCATTACCTCATTTGCAGATGTTGCCAGCTGCGGGCTACAGCCCACACAACTTTTACAGATTACAATGGATAAGGTTCAGGTTAATTTTGCAACTAAGACAGCCAGGGCTCGTTTTTAATGAGATACAAATAAATTAACTTTTTTTGGTTAGAGATGGTGGTTGCTCATGCAGTATGCACTATATGTCATTGGTTTACATGGGCTTAAAAATTGATCAGACACATTAACAGAAGAAAAACCTATGAGGTACTGCCAGAAACACCATTCTGGCTCAGGATGTCCCTGTTGAAGGCTGGAAGAGAATTCTGGAGAAGCCTTACTATGCATTTGACCAATTTTTATACTTTTTCCAAGGGCATTCACTGTTGAAACTTTCAGAGACCAGTTCTTTGGTTAGCTAGACCTTTTCTCTGATACAGTACGTCTCTTTTTAAGAGCTGTAACTGATACTCTTAAATTCATAATATGTGCTTAAGGATATATATTCTTAAAAAATATAATATATTCTTTGGAACATCCTTTAAAAAATCACTTTTTATACTTCATTGTAGATTTCCTTGTAACCTGGAAAGCTGATGGAGAAAATAGTCCTTTCACACATGTTAGAGACAAGAAGGTGATTGGGAGTAGCTGGCATTGATTTACAAACAGGAAATGAGGCTTTATTAACCTGATGGTCTTCTCCAAGTAACTTAGTGGGTGAAGGCAGAGCAGTAGGTATTGTTTATCTCAGCTTTAGTAAGCCTTTTGATATTAGATCTGATAACATTCCCCAAACAAGCTGACAAAGGAGGTGTTAGTTAACTGCACAGTGAGGTGGGTTGAAAACCCAAAGGGTTGTGATTAGTGGCACGTGGTCCAGCTGGAGGCAAAATACCAGAGCTCCTTAGGGTTTTATACTGGGGCCAGCACTGTTTAACACCTTTATTAACGACCTGTAGGACAAGACAGAGTGCACCCTGTACAAATTTGCAGTTGATACAACTCTGGAAGGAGTGGCTGAAATACTGGATGGTTCTGTCACTGTCCAGAGGGATCGGGCTGGAGAAATGAGCCAAGAGGAATCTCAAAAAGTTCAACAAGAGGAATCTACATCCTTCTCCTGGGAGAAGAAATTCTCCAGAATTTCAGCTGCATATTTTGACAGAGAAGTGAGTCATGAATATCGAAATATATTCCTGGATGTAGTTTTCAGGTGTGTCTGCTCTATATGTAAGTATTGAACCAAAAACACTGAGGCACAAAAGTATTATTTACAAATACTTCAGTAATACTACAGTTGTTTTCCATTGTGGTTTTTTTATTACAGTCTGTAGCCCCAAGGCAGCTTCCTGACATCCTGTAGGACATTCCATGTATGAGTTTGGAGTTAAATACAGAGAGCTTGTCTACCTGTGGTCACCAGTTCCAGGGACCATGAGAAGATTGGAAATGCACAGCAATAAGAAGAGCAAGATATTTTCATACAGAACCTCACAGGAAAAAAGTTTTCAACCAGTATGAAAATCTTTATAATAAAAAACTTCCCTTATCATCCAAGCAAGGTGATCTGCATGGCAAAACAGAGCTGTTAAATTACTATCTGAGAAATTTAATCAAACAGACTTTTTCTTTCTGAAGCATGGTATGTATGTCATCACATTAGCAAGATTGTTAGGAAGAGCTGCAGAAATGGTTGGGAAGATAGATTCTATCCTGATTCAATGTTATTTTTAAGAGAATTACACGGAGAAATTTTAATGCATTTTTTCCTTGTCTTTTTTTTTTTTTTTTACCAAGTTTGTAATTAACTTGTTTTATTTTTAATTGAAATGTTCTTGCTAGCTTCCATGGTTTATCAACATCACCAGCTGTGTCATGAGAAATCCCAAAAAAGTATCTGTTACAGCTTGTGTTCCCAGTGCTGACACTGCAGCAGCAAAATAGAGTGGTTTTTTTAATGGTTAAATTGTTCTCTATTGCCTGCAGTTTGAAAGTTAGAAACAGAAGCACTTGCTTCATCTTCCCAGAAAATAACTAATCTTTTGGGAGATGGTCTTAATTATTTTCTCAGTGAAAGTCCTGTTCCACACAGCCTCAGGTGTTACCGGCTACACTGCTATGGTGTCCCAAATATAAGCATAAGGCCTAGGTCTTTTTGGCTTCATTTCCTCCTTTTAGTATGGGTGTCTTTCAAAGTAAAAAAGGATAAAGAAAATGGCCTGAAGATGTCCAGAAGTTATTTTAAGAAAGTCTAAAATTGTATTATTTTTACTACTGCCCTTCTTCCTTTTCTTTTTCCAGTCTTGCTCTTCTTGTTGCTCAAATTGATGTTCTATGATAGAACACAGAGAAAATTCACTTTGTTATTTTCTAGGATGTATTTCTTTTATTTGTTCCACAAAATGATAACATAAATGAGGCATAAAGAATATTACATTGCCTTTGAATCTACACTAAATGTGCTTGTTTTACCAGATCATTTGATATGTTAGAAGATATTTCCAGGAAAAATATGTACAAACAGCTCATGATTTTCGAGATAAAAATCAATCTGTAGCCATCAGCAGGGATTAAGATAATTTGCTGAGGATGAGGTAATTTGAATTTCTCATTATGGCTTCAAAGTTGCTTTTTTCTCATGCTTACTCAATCTGATTTTTTTTTTACATTTAATATTTTAGTTTACCCGCTACAAAGATTTTGGTTTAAATTCTGTAGGAAATTAATCCTATATATTTAGATTATACAGAAAGAGGAATATATTTATGTTTGTATAAACTCTTGCCTGCACGAGTAGCCCATAAAAATGCTTGTGACGCCTGGAAGTTACTGTCAATTACTTTGTGAATGCAAATATAACCAAGAATTCCTTTGGGTTACTGATCACTACGTTGCTGGATTTTATCACGCTTTAAAACTAGCCTTGAAGATTTTTTTGTAAGATCCTCCCAACGTCTCACAGCGTCAGAGTTCCCTCCGAGCGGCCCCGCTGCCGCCCGCCCCGCGGCCCCGCCCCGCTGCCAAGGCCGCTCGGACTGCCCGAGCTCCGCTGGTTCCGGGACTGGCACGATGGCTCTGCAAGGGGCGGCGGCGGCTGAGGAGCTCGTGTTCTATGTGAATGGCAGGAAGGTAAGTATTGCCCGGAAAGAGCGTGCAGAAAGAGAGGCTGCTGTGCCAGAAGGAACCCCGAAGGGTGTGGGCACAGATTTGGCTTCCTCAGACTTCTTCAGGGGAGTATAACTGAATCCTCACACAAGCCTGCAGAACAGACATGGTTGCATCCCATTTTGGCTACTTCTGCTGTTTTGGGGGAAAAAAACGTGCCAAAGTGAAACACACTTTCAGTTGGGTATCAATTTTGGCTGGTAAGCAGTCTATTTTTTCCATTTGTGTGTGTCTGGCTTCTCATCTTCGATGGTATCAGATTTTCAGAGACATAACTGAAAGGCAGCAAGACTCTGGTGCCAAAACATGGACTACTGACCATGAAGATAATATTGCAAGGACTGGTTGTTGATCCAAAGCAACTGTAAGGGATTAGCTAATTCTAAGCAACAGAATAAGAAGTGCTCTACTCGATCAAGAATGTAGGCGTTTCTGTTGCTCTCTGTTGTCAGATGATTACAGCAAGTGAAAGTTCATACAAATAAAGCTAGAAAAGAAATTGTTGCTGCTGACAGCCTTAAAAGACCCTTGCAGTGCATCAAAGTGCCAGGAAGACTCTCAAATCTGCAAATCATTAGTTCTTCATTCTGTCACTGTTGTAGCAAAGTTCTACTGTGTTTTGTGGCCAAAGGTCACTTCACTCAGTGTAACCTTTCGCTGAGCAGCAGTTATTTTTAGTAGTTGCAAGGTGCCCTGACACTTCTTTTCTGGCAACGTATCTGCCTGAGAAGGAACTTTCAGGAGCCCAAACTCTCCTGCTGTGTTTGGCAATTAGTTTAGTTCTATGAGAGGGAACCCAAGAGTGATCCTCTTCTGGCTTTGTGAGAATCCAGTCCGTGCACTGCATTTTGAAAAGCCTTGGTTTCTTATTCAAACCTTGTTTTTAATTTCTTACTGCAGATAATAGAGAAAAATGCTGATCCTGAAGAAATGCTGCTGTCTTATCTGCGAAAGAGGCGTATCCTTTTCTTGTCTGTTTCCTAAAGTTGATCATGTGAAAGCCTTATTCCAGAAAATTCTCATAAATTTTAATTCAAGGTTGAATTACCAGATTAAGGAAGTTGTGATTCCCTGAAGATAAGCCAACCATATCAAATAACGTCTCTTTCTTAATCCAAATACTCTTCAGTTGAGCTACTGTACTTTAAGCCCAGTTTCTTAAACACACACAATTATGGCATCAGGCATGATGGGTATGTGTTTATCTGTGTTCCTCCTCTCTCCCCCCATAAAGAAACCGAAAAATCTTGTGACCAGCATTCATAAAGCTTGACAGAGTAGAAGTCTCCAAGTTTTATAACAGTCTCTCTCCCAGGAAAAGATAGACACTGTGATGAGACCTTGAGACTGATGGGATTTTAAGGGGGAGAAAGACTTTTTGGTGGCTTTGGAATATTAAATTATCTGTTTGTT